ATTAAATAAACTAAAAAACAAAGAATCATAGCTGGAACAATAACAACACCCAACGCAGTCACAGTCAGCCAGCTAGCCAATCCTCCAATACCAGAGGCTGTATTGGTGTGTTCAGTGCATCGAGTTGACTTCAACATCCAGCCTTTTCCCAGACATCCTTGTACATGAAAACTAAACAATCAGCTTACCAAGGAATAGTGTAAAATATAAGAAAGGATAAAAAGTCGGACAAATTCGAATATGTTACACCCTACACCAGGTGGTATCATTTGGATGATATAAATTAAATGTTATGGGGAAAGGGCATGCTTAGGACACTTTCCCAATTGAAATATGTGTGATTATAGTGTGTTGGTCTACATCACGAACATTACTAAAATTTGAAAATTGTGGAAATTCCGAAAGGACATCTCTCTAGGGCATTTCAATGAGTAGTCAATAAAAATAAAGTCGAATTTTCCAAACAAGTATCGTTAAAAGTTTTTTAGATGTTTTGCAGATTATCATTTTTTAGAATTTTGGGATGTTACATTTTGTTAAGATATTCCAACAGATGGACTAAAATTATGAAATTGTTGCCAGGAAGTTTCTTACTCGATAAGGATCCGAATACATATTGGGGTATCGATATGAAACATTTTGGCCATTAATAAGAGCTTCATCAAAAATCCACTGCATTGGCATTTAATGTACTTAAAATGAGTAATATCGAAGTATGCTAAACATTTCAAACATATATTTGAGGATCTTTGGGACATTTGCTGAACATTTTCCGCGAGGAGAAGCCGAAATTCGAAGGACCAATATTATATATTTTAGTATTGTGTATTACTTTCCATTGTTTACACTGTGACGCAAAATTGAACTCATGGTCTGGATTGGGAAAATTCCTTATGGGGATAAAAGTCCTGGGGATTATTTCAATATTTCAGACTAATTTGACAATTTTTCTTAATGTTCAATTTATTCGAATTTTATTAGTGTTCATACATATAAGGTTTTCTGAGCAAGAAATATAGAGAAAAAGGACGATGCAAACATGCGATTATCGATTCCTTTTCTTTGAAGACCCTATCTGAAATCTTATGAGCGAATATTAGAATATTAAGAGGTCAAAAAATCGAAAACATCCAATTTGTTCTTCTGGGTTTTTAATATATTCAACAAGGATTTTCATCCCCATAAGGAATTTCTAACTCCAGAATCGTGTTGCATAGTTTCAATAAAATCCTCATGATGCTGAGTAGCTGACAATGAAGCAATCGACAGATTTGAGGTAAATTATACAGTTTGTATTTCAATTGTAAGAAGAATTTTCTGACGGCTAGGGAACAAATTTCCAACTTATAACCCTCACCACAGAAAATCCTCCCAGCAGGATTATCCAAATATTTTTGGAATCTTGATTTAGAAAGTTCCGCAAGTATTAATATGAACCTTTAGATCAATAGGACTATAAAATAGGTCGACAAGGAAGTACATTTTAACCATCAATATGTGCCGAATCGATAGAATGCTTAACATATTCCCAACATGTGGAAACAAACCTGCATACGCACAGGAAAATAATAGAGCATAAAAGACGCCACCTGGCCCTCGAGTCGAGAATGACGTATTTCAAATTTGGTTTAGCATACCAATTAAAAAGTCATTGTCCTGACTCAGAAAATTTTCAATATAGATTTGTCGATGTCATAGCCTACATATAAAGCCCCGCCCGATTTTAGTTATTTTGATTGTCCTAGACGTATTTTCTGGCCGAAGTGGCTATAATTTAGTATTGTATGGGTTCATAGTCCCTATATAAAGGCAAAAAACCAGAGATGACTAAAAATCGGCATTTTGGGGTTTCAGAAGATAAATTATGTAAGTCCATATTGTGATATAGCGCCCATAAAATGTCGTATGTAAGTATAAAAACGACATTTATACTTATTACAATTTTAATATAGTCTCATCTGTTCCATTTTGTACTGGTTCCTATTACACTGTGCAACACAAACCTGTAAGGAAAGTAATAAAGTCGGACGGGGCCGACTATATGATACCCTTCACCACTATGGGTATATTAAACAGGACTATTAACATGAAATTGGATGAAATAAAATATGTGATATTTATCTAAATGTGAATCTACCTAGATCTATCCATAAACATGTCATTCTTTAGTTACAATGGGACAAAGGTATGTAAATCGACTTCAAACAAATATAAATAGGTCATCCGTTGGGCTATGTGTGTACTTCTAGAAAACGCAACTACGTAATTCTATGCTCAATTTTGTACGTTGTGCAAAATTTGATGTCAATCTGACTAACATGAGGAGTTCGATGCCCAATTTACTTGAAATCGGGCGGAAATATATATGGAAGCTCCATCCAAATATTAAGCGATTTCAAACAAACTTGTCACAGGTTAGATTATACTAATTTCAGAACGTTTTGTTCCTATCAGCCTATTGGTTCCTTTGTGCGTCAATTACTTAAAATCAATCTATAATAAAAGGGAGCTATATCGAAATCCGGACAGATTTTCTCGAAACTTGACAGACATCACTCTAGGCTCAATTCAGTACGTTATGCCAAATTTCGTGCAAATCGAAGGATATATAGGGACTTTGGTGCACCATTTACATAAAATCGGACGAAACTATATATGGGAGATATATCTAAATCAGGACCGATTTTCTCGAAATTTGGCAGACATCATTCTAGACCTAAATAATTAGGCTGTACCAAATTTCGTCCAAATTAAAAAGATTTGACCGTTTACATTAAATCGGTTAAATATATATATGGGAGCTATATCTAAATCTGAACCGATTTTTCCCAATTTCAATAGGGTTCGTCCTTGGGCCGAATAAGTGGCTTGTGCCAAATTTCATCCAAATCGAATCATAAATTCGACCTGTGCTTTGTTTACAATTTAACATCTACAGACGGACGGACGGACAGACAGACGGACGGACATGCGTAAATCGACTCAGAAAGTGATTCTATGCGTATTCTTAAAAGGAACCATGTGTCTATCTCGTTTCCTTTTGCCTGTTACAAACATATGCACAAAGACATAATAACCTGTACCACAGTGTGGTGAAGGGTATAAAAATAATTTTGGGAAAATTCCAAACAAATAATGATGATAGAGGGTTTAAAAATAGATGACACATGTATGGGCATTTTGAAAATTTACATCGGGATGTAACCCAAAAAGGCGTAGCAACATTTCCCATTTCTAAGATATTTGAAAATGTTCGAATTCCTTGCATTTTAGATATATTGTGTCTTTGTACTCTCTGGAGTGATATTTTCGGTCTCCATTTCCAGAATTATTGAAAACTCATTTAAAACGGGGTTATAGCAGGTCAGAATAGTCCACAAAAATGTTCGCCATAAAGTTTTACTTGCAAATCAGTCTAAACGTCAAACGTCAAACGTATGAAAACTCATTTTAGGATTAAAACCGATCTCATTCCGAGTTTATGGCTATTTTTCCCACTAAATGTCGTTTTAGAAGAATGGTATAGAGGGCAATAATAATCTCCATCAAATTTTAATATAAGTTACTGAACAAGAGAAATCTGTATATATAATATAGATAGCGTATATATAGACGTCAATTTGGGACAAAATACGTGTTAATTAAACACCTTTTTTTATTCAAAAGTATTCGATCTCAATCGCCCCAAATTTTCATTTTAATAATATTTAACTTATTTTTTTTCTCAGTGTATGGAATATTGTGATGATAATTTAAAAGTCCAGTTTTATGAAAATTCCAACAAACATTTTGTTGTAGTTGAAAAGGCTAAATCAATACATTTGCCAAAAACAACAACAAAATAAAAAAAAAACTAAAGACCAGACAAACTCTCATACAAATTAAGTAAATCAACAGCAACAACAACAACAAAACCAACTAAAGCTTAAACGCACCACAAGAGTAAACAACAACAAAAAGTAAACTTGCAAATCCTTTAAACTTCATTCACGCCGCAACAACAGCTGGACAAGCAGCAAATAATCGTCAGTCCAATAGTCGGTCAATGTACAAAGTGCCAGTGTCGGAGAAGAAGAAGCAGCAACAACATCACCAGTAGTGGAAGTGCAGAAAGGAATCATAAGAAGTTCCCATCATTTTCAAAGCGGCTTTTAAAACTATTTTTTATGTGAATATTTTTTTTTTTTTGTTTTTTTTTCTGTTTCGATCACCTACCTTACCTCACCATAACCTCCTACTTCTCCGTGAGACTCTTTGGTGGTGTATTTCCCTGTCATTGGAAGAACGGGTACGGGAACAAAGTTGAGGTCCGAAAGGGCAGAGCGCTAAGCAACTCCTTGGTCAATCTTTTAACTCCTTTTTCTTTATATTAAAAACAAAACAAAAAACAACCGAAAAGCTAAAACCAAAACAAAGTTCCGATAAAAGAAAATAAAAAACAAAGAAACAACAAAACCAAGGGCAGACACACATTAAAACGTATTTAATATTAACTTTCCAAAGAACGAATCAGTACGCGTGAGTCTTTACAAGAAAATTGACGCGTTTTTTTCCAGTAGGGGCTTCATCGAACCAGTGAGAGAGAATTCGAAAATAAAAAAACGCAAAAGTGAAAAAAAGTTTTAATTCCATTTGATCTAAAACTGATCAATATGATCGATATAATAATTATCCAGTGAATCATCAATCATCATTTCTGTGAGTGAGTGTGTGTGTGTGAACATGTATCTAGCAGCATCAGTGACTCACTCAAAATGTTTGAGAAACTAACAACAACAAGAAAAATATTTCAAAATATTCTCAGTGACAAAAAGAAAACAAACGGGTTTAAATAATTCTCATTAACTTGATACGACTATTTTATCGGATCACTTTAGTGGATAACACTTCGTATTAAAAAAGTGATATTTTTGTTATGCTGTGTGTTAATGTTATCGCATCGTGATATTAAATTACTTGATTTGAAATCAATTGACAATTGTCATCATTTGTTTGGAATCATTTTGTGAAGCTGCACCGGGTTTCATAAAGGCAGCGTTACGGATATGCGGTTATTTATGGTATTTGCAATTGTCATATTTGCAATGCCAATAACCGGATTTGGTTGGTAAGTAGACATTTTTTATATTCGTTTAAATATACAATATGCATTAAATTAACACATTTTGAAATTTATGCAAAACAAAATCTGTAAAAGAAACTAAAATTTATTATAAATTATATCATGAGTGACAACTCGAAATAGATTTAATCAGAGATAATGAAATCGATTTCTGTACCGTTTTTTACTTTATCGACTTAATTACTATTAGTTAGTTTAACATGCAATTAAATGACGTTATACCTAAACTTGAATCGACATAGTTCAACTTCAATATACACTTTGCAAATCTGCAAATATATATCAGCTCTGCATCCAAAGCTATGCTTTGAAAATGTAAGCATAAAAGTCAGTTCTCCATCCTAAAACTATGCTTTGAAAATCCACGCTTATAAGAAAGATCCTCATCCAAAAAATATTATTTTAAAACTCCAAACTTACAGTTCAAATTGCCATCGAAAAAATCCACGCTTATGGTGTAAATACATCCCGAAAACATTCTTTTAAAAATGCACACTTATAGCATAGATATCATCCCAAAAATATTCTTTTCAAATCCACGCATAAGAGCCAGAAGGTCATCCTAAAACTATGCTTTAAATGAACACGCTTATATATCTTAATTTCATCCCAAAAATATGCCTTAAAAATTCAAGATTATGTGTTTGATATTCATGCCAAAAATATGCTTTAAAATCAACGATTATAGTTCAGATGGCCATCCCAAAAATATGCTTCGGAGAAACCACGCTTTAAAAATCCACAATTAGATTCTGGTTTCTATAAAAAATATGCTTTCAAAAATACACGCTTACAGGCCAGATCGTCATGCTAAAAATTCAGCCAAAAACATTCCTTAAACATCAATGACTATATCTCAGTTTGTTAACCCAAAAATATGCTTTAAAAATTCTAATTGTAAAAAATATTCCTTAAAAATTGACGGTAATGGGATCATAATGTCATCCCAAAGATATGATTTCAAAAAATCCACGCTTATAGGCCATTCATTGATTTCTGAAGGAAAAACTTACAAATTCACACAAGATGTAGTTGGCTGTTCTGCGAAAATGATCTCTAACGCCATAAAATGGTCTCCCAGAACTTTGAGTTCATGAATGTACAATCAGGACATTCTTGCTGCATCACAATTTGTATGGCAGATCTCTCAGAAAAGTATCTCTACTTAAAAAAATACATACCTTCAAAATATTAAAATTTGCAAAAGAGGGCCTAGATTGGCCTCTGTTTGGTCTGACGAGACCAAAGTGGTTTATAATTAAATTTGAATAGAGCAAAGCAACTAATAAATAAGTGAAAATAAATTTAAAATTCTTTTGTTTATAAAATAAGAAACCAAAACCACGCTACTGTATGTCAGTTCGTTAGCCCAAAAATATGCTTTAACCAGTGAGCGGAGCAGTATATTCGGACGGGACCGACCATATGATGCCCTACACAACTTCCAGGAAAATCTAACTTTCTGTGGTTCTATATTCTGAGCTTGAGCAATATTTCTCCATATTTGCACCCTCTTGACCGACTAGATGAATATTTGTAATATTCAGTAGACTAGGGCTGTACTTGTCTGAATTCTCTTTACCGTGGCTTATGTTGTGATGTTGCCTTTCAATTCTGTACTATAGATCGACTCGAAAAAGCATAACACAAAAAATTAAGTTTTCGGTCCACTTCATCCCACTTCATCGTAGTTCTTGGCCATAACTGGAATCTCATGAAACATTTCAAAGCGATTAGCGCTATATTTCCGATCTCTAGTGTAGTAATGGGTTACTAAATAATATCTCAGGACGTTAGCACCTGTAAATATTTAAGTGTAACTCCCACATCAGAGTACATACAGCCAAATAATTGGTATCAATTTGAAGGTCAACAACTACTCTTGGATATACTATCAACTTCTCGTAGGTGCTTCAGGGGCAAATATATTCGCCTGTATCGCATTTACAAATTATAATGGACGGACGGACACACATGTCTAGATCGACTCAGCTGGTCGAGATATGACGATCGGTATACTTAAAGGTGGGTCTAGGACCAATATTTCGCGGCGTTACAAACTCTTGGGGCTGCACAAAGCTATAATACCCTGACAACATAGTTGTATAGGGTATAAAAATTCTAATAGAATTAGCCTACTGACCTCCAAAAATATTCCTTAATTCACGGTAATCCCGAAAATATGCTATGATAAAAATCGTCATGCCAAAAATATGCTTAAAAAATCCAAATATAATACGTCTGATAGTCTCCCAAAAATATTATTTTAAAATCCATTCTTATAGCTCAGATATTTAACTTAAAAAATATGCTGATAGTCCTCAAAACACAAAAAATAATTATAGGCTGATTCCAATTATTATGAGGGTGCTAAAATATCGGCTATCCTTGCATTTTAGGTATATGGTGTCATTGGCAATACTAGGGATATAAATGTGAGGAATATTTTTGTCTAATGCGTTAAACCTCAGTCGACTCTCTGAAGGGGTCTTCTCGATCCCTTTTTCCACAAATTATTGAAAACTCGGTTAAAACGTGGTAATAGCAAATCAGAATATTCTACCAAAATGTTCGACACAAAGTTTTACTTTACGTCTTTATAGACCAAAACATCGACATCATTAAAAATATGAAAATACACTTTAGGATTTAATCCGAACTTTTACTGTGTTTGTACCAATTTTCCTACTAGAAGTGGTTTTAGAAGGATGGTATAAATGACAAAAATATTCTTCATCAAATTTTAGTGTAAGTATGTCTCTCATTTTAAAGAGAACAACGTAGGATTTTTTGAACCCATCGAGTATGCTTTTTTTGAAGAATATTTCTAGAAGAACAGGTCTTTCTGAAAGGATCCGTCGATAATAAGCGTGGACATTTAGAGAATATTCTTTGAAGGGCCTGCGAGCTATAGCCAGAATTTTAAGAATATTTCTCGGTATTTTGAGGAACTTGGCGTTACGGATAATTTTTTTAACATCTTTAAATTACAAAATATGAATTTTGTAAATGATAAAAGCGATTTTTATTTGGAAAATATTCACATTACTTATCGTTACATTTTACATTACCCCCATGACTTCCATTAACAAATTTGTCCATATTACCACATATGAATCATTGCCATGTGTTTCAATCATTCATCAAATGTAATTGTGATGAGTGCAGTTCCTAATCACATCGCTGACAATGTTGCACTTCCTGTTAAACTCATACCAATTAAAATCTACACTCATATGTATGTCTCTTTTCTTATATAAATACATAATACCAAAAAAACTACATACATATATAATATATATTGTTATGGTCACAAGACGTCATCTGTTGACAACCTTCAAAAATCATACGCTTGATTTATAAAAATCAAACAAACTGATGGACCTTTGTCTTGGCCATAACAGATCAGTGAACGAACGGATATGGCTCACGAAAAAATAAAAAAGAAGAAAACAAAAATGTGGATGGATGCACCAAGCAGTTTATTTCATTCACAAGCATAATTATTGGCAGTTGGCACACACTCTACAACTACCACTACACAAACACATTTACGCATATAGACACACTCACACATTTGTACACTGCTCTCATAAACTTGACACATTAAAATGTAGAAAATTAATAGAAAATTTCACGGCATCAAACATGACAACACACACAGGAAATTGTCACTAGCGACAAGAAAACGTAAAAAAGAAGAAGAGCAACCAAAAATATCAAAATCAAGATTAGACCAACAAGCAGATAGTCTAAAAAAAAAAAAAAAAACAAGTGAACAAAATTAAACGAAACGAAAATAGTCAAATTGAGGATGCACACACACGGCATTTAAAAATAGCCACCTAATGGTGGACACGTCGTCAGGTAAGGGTAAGGCAAAGAGATGTCCTTATTAAAACATCAAAAGCTAGATTTTTCAAAATCTCAAAAAAGTGTCAAAATCAAAATCACATTGACCATGCAAGACGAAAGAACGCTCACGTCCATCATGCGGTCCATATGGTTCTTCAGCTTCTCATCACATGGGCGAAGAGAGGTGAATTATTGTCATTACTATTTTTTTGTGATCGGTCCGACGATAGCAAATTTATGAAATAGTGTCAAATTGTTGAAAAATACGAGGGTTGGGATCAAATGCAGGTGGGATTATTTCTTGGAGGACCCGCAGCGGGAATATGTTTCTGAAGAACGAAGTATGATTTTTTTAAGAATATTCCTAACGGCCCTGTGATGTTTTTTTACGAATAGCTCGTAAATATTCTTCGAGCTATTTCTATAAAAATTTTTGAAAATTGTGACCAGTTATAAGTTTGTAGTTTTAAGAATATTTCATGGAGAACTTGTCGAGCAATAAGCGTGGAGTTTTTACGAATATTTTTGGAAGGAAGGAATTGTGAAGGAAGAGCCACAAGCGTGGCACAAGACCTGCTTAGCAACAAGGACGGATATTCATCTGAATATTTTTGGAAGGACCTGCATAGCAACAAGGGTGGATTTTCTTCAGAGTATTTCTTTATACTCCCGGCGTTTTCATAACAATATTTGCATAAGGACCTGTCGGGACTTTTTTCAAAGATCAAGCATTACTTTTCTTTGAACTGTAAACGTGATCTTCAAGAATATTTTTTAAGAATCTTCCGAGCTATACGGGTGGAGTTTTAAGACTATTTTTAAGGGACAATAAATATATTTACGAAGACGCAAATGCGGATTTTTATAAACTTTGAACTTATTTCGTGACGTGGATTTTTTAAAAATATTTTCTTTGAAACTCCATCAAGGCGTGGGTTTTTTAAGTTTTTTTTTTTTTTTTTTTTTTTTTTGAAAAACCACCAATGCGTGGATTTTTGACGTCTTATCAAGGCGTGGATATTTAAAAAAAATATTTTTTTGAATACTTTTCAAGGTGTGGATATTTATACCCTTCACCACACTGTGGTAGAGGGTATTATATGTCTTTGTACATATGTTTGTAACAGGTA